TTTTCCTGCTCACCCACGCCCTGCTCTGTTAACCATTAGCCTCCTGCGTCTCGTCATGGATCCAGACTGCTGGAGTAAAGGACGAGTCCACTGAAGACACGAACGCTCCGATTCCTTCAGCTGCTCGTGCGCTGAAGCTCGATGGGTGCTCTTTGTGGAAACAGTCAAAATGGAGAGTCCACACCTGAGAGACATTCCTTTCAGGTGAACGGAGACGCTTCATGAATCAGTGTTTGGATCGTCACCAGCACCGTCTGGAAGCTGGCGTGTGTGATGTCAGACGTCTCAGACGGTCTTACTCATTCAGATACTCGGTGAACTCGTGGGCTCAAATGTGCCACGACGTGCGCTCACACCTGCACATTCCTCAACTTGGGTTTGGCTCTGAGAGTGTGCAGAACATCAGGCCTGCTGCTGGACACGGCCTCCAGAGAAGGTCTCGTTGTCTTTGGGTTCGTCCAGAACTTCACGAGGAAAACAAAGAACGCACGTTTCCTGCCAGAGATCATCTTTTGTTGATTCTCATTTCACTCTGACCTTTAAATGCATTTCAAGTGATATTTGAGTTAAAATGGTTACGTCTGCCATCTTGAACAGGGTTGACTGTGATCTGTCATCAGTTGTTGATGTGCGTCCAGTTATTATTAGTGAAGGATTTAGTCAAATCCATCTTGTGGGTCACAGAATATTTAACCAGACACACAACGGCACAAAGGAAACCGTTGTTGCGAGTCACCGTCAGCGGTGTGTTGATGTGTATTTGTCCTGGCACATTTCAACAATAAAACATGAAACTTTAGCTGCACTAATCAATAACTCGACACCAAAACAACACAAAGATGCACCATGACGAGCCGAAGAGAAGCAGCCAGTGTCTGAAACCGAGGAGGAAGAGGTTAACATTTATATTCTGTTTATATCTAGAAAATGAATCTGACCCCACAGAAACACTGACACTTATACAGTATATGTTTTAGCTCTTTCTGTGTTTTAGTTTAAGTCAGATGTGACTGTGACTCACCGGTCGTGAACTAAAATACATTTTTCTTTGACAAACTAGACAATGTCTCAATTTTTGTTTCCCATCAAAGCCTCAGTCGAGAATTTTTTTTT